ATGACAGAAATATGCGACAAGAACAGAGGGTCAATGACCTCTGAATCTCTCAATGAAGAAACGGAGGCTATCTCTGTCGAAAGTTGAGGAATTGAAAGTTCATCCTTTCAACTCACAACTCGCGGTAGAAAAATTGAACGGAACAAACTACAAAGAATGGGCTCAATCTATCAAACTAATCATTGATGGAAAATCAAATGTTGGGTGCCTAACAAGGTAAGACTAAGATGCCAGCCTCAACCGACACAATTCTCTTTCGAAGTGGCGATCCGAGAATTCCATGGTAACTGCTTGGCTCATCAACTCTATGAAGCCCTCAAGTGGAAAACATACAATCCTACACACCACAAAAGGCGTACGGGAGGTTGTGAAGGAGACGTACTCTCATTCTGAAAATTTAGCCGAGATTTTTGAAATCAAATCCAAATTGTTGTAAACCAAGCAGGGAGAAAGGGATGTGATCGATTACTAACTGGAGATGACTATGTTGTGGCAAGACCTCGACCTGAGTTCGGAGGAGAAGTGGAAGTACCCAGAAGATTGTACCTATGACCGAAAAAATTGGATAATGAGAGTGTTTGAGTTCCTAGCGGGGCTCCACCAAGATTTCGACGATGTTAGGGGGTGAATTCTCGGTCAACATCCACTACCGTCACTGCAAGAGACCTTCGCGAAAGTGAGACGAGAAGAAAGCCGGTGGAAGGTCATGTTGAATGCAACCGGTACGTTTGGGATCGAAGGCTCAGGTATGGCTGTGAAAGGGGTTAGGCCTCACAGTAATGGGCCTTCAAAGTTTAAAATGGGCCCATCAAACTTCCAACATGAGGCTACAACTTATATTAGGCCCAATTACCTTAATGTTGGGCCTGGAAGTATGGGCTTATATCAAAAGGGGATTGCAAATGGGTCACGCTAAAAAAAAAGGGTCTACCTTGGTGTAAACACTACCACAAGCCAGGACACAAAGAAGACACATGTTGGGATCTACATGGAAAGCCGGCCAATTGGAAACCTAGGCAAAGTAACAAAAATCGTAGCTATCAAGCATCTGTTGATTATTTAACAAAAAAAAAACTAAGGGGTCCAACGGTGCTTTTAGTCCCGAGCAGATGGAGCGACTCTATAAAATGTTCTTTACACTCCAACCGTCAAGTCAAACCTCTACAAATAATCATTCAAGTTTTCTAGCCGATAGAGATGATTTTTTGCGAGTATTAAACAACACCACTCAAACTAAAATGCATGGATCATTGACTCGGGATCTTCTGATCATATGACGAACTCCTACCACCTATTCACTTCATACTCAACATGTGCTGACAATCTTAAAGTTAAAATTGTTGATGGTTCCTATCCACTGTCACAGGAAAAGGGCGTATTCAAATTTTCGATTCTATAACTTTAGAACCTGTCCTCCATGATCCAAATTTATCATGCAATTTATTATCTATAAGCCAGTTAACAAAAACCTTCAATTGCTCTACTAAATTTCTTCAGTCTTACTGCATTTTCTAGGACCTATTATCGGGGAAGACGATTAGCGGTGTTAAGAAAAGTGAAGGACTCTACTACTGTATGGGCTTATATCAAAAGGGGATAGCAAATGGGTCATGCTAAAAAAAAAAGGGTCTACCTTGGTGTAAACACTACCACAAGCCAGGACACAAAGAAGACACATGTTGGGATCTACACGGAAAGCTAGCCGATTAGAAACCTAGGCAAAGTAACAAAAATCGTAGCTATCAAGCATCTGTTGATTATTCAACAAAAAAAAAACTAAGGGGTCCAACGGTGCTTTTAGTCCCGAACAGATGGAGCGACTCTATAAAATGTTCTTTACACTCCAACCGTCAAGTCAAACCTCTACAAATAATCATTCAAGTTTTCTAGCCGATAGAGATAATTTTTTGCGAGTATTAAACAACACCACTCAAACTAAAACGCATGGATCATTGACTCGGGATCTTCTGATCATATGACGAACTCCTACCACCTATTCACTTCATACTCAACATGTGCTGGCAATCTTAAAGTTAAAATTGTTGATGGTTCCTATCCACTGTCGCAGGAAAAGGGAGTATTCAAATTTTCGATTCTATAACTTTAGAACCTGTCCTCCATGACCCAAATTTATCATGCAATTTACTATCTATAAGCCAGTTAACAAAAACCTTCAACTGCTCTACTAAATTTCTTCAGTCTTACTGCGTTTTCTATGACCTATTATCGGGGAAGACGATTAGCGGTGTTAAGAAAAGTGAAGGACTCTACTACTTTGAAGAGGCTGATGTGAGTAAACAGTGTCAAATTAAAGTTTGTGATTCTGTGTCTATCATTAGAAATAGTGAAATTATGTATGGCACTTTAGAATGGGTCATTCAAACTTTCAATACTTGAAACGTGTTTTTCCTTCTATTTTTTTTTTTTAATAAAAGACCAGTTCATCTACAATTGTGAAATTTGTGAACTTGCAAAACATCAACGTACATCATTTCCAAAATCCACATACAAACCATCAAAGTCATTCACCATGATCCACAGTAATGTATGGGTCCCTCAAGAATTCCAAACCGTAATCATGCAAAATGGTTTGTTACATTCATTGATGATCACACTCGAATATGTTGGGTTTACATGCTAAAAGAAAAAATTGATGTTCATTCCGTGTTCATCACCTTCCACTCTATGATTTAAACGCAATTTCAAACACAAATTCAAATTTTACACACAGACAATGGCACGGAATACTTTAATAACATCATGGGAGACTTTCTGCAAGCTCATGGCATAATTCACCAAAGCTCTTATGTTGACACTCCCCAACAAAATGGGATTGTCAAACGAAAAAATTGGCATCTCCTAGAAGTAGCTTGTACCTTAATGTTTACTACAAACGTGCCAAAAATGTTCTGGGCGGATGCGGTCCTTACATCCACATATCTAATCAATCGGATGCCTAGCTGTATCTTAAACTTCGAAACACCGCTCCAAAAATTTCAGAAATATTTCCCAAATTCTCGTCTCAACTCCAATATTTCCTTAAGAGTGTTTGGATGCACCACATTAGTTCATGTTCACTCTCATCACAGAAGTAAACTTGACCATCGAGCAATTAAATACGTTCTGATTGGATATTCTCACACACAAAAATGCTACAAATGCTATGATCCTTACACAAAACGGGTCTTAAAGTCTTGATGTCACCTTCTTCGAAAATATCACATACTTTAAGAACAAATCTCTTCAAGGGGAGATCTCACATGAAGATCGGTTTCTTGATCTCAGTCTCTCCACTCCTGAAATGTCACCTACTCCACCAACTGATATGTCATTAATAGATATGTCACATACTCCACCAACTGATGTGCCATTAACAGAAGAAAACTTGAATTCAGGGAGAGAAGTAGAAAAATCAAAGCACTCAGAAAATCTCACATCCGAAGCACCAAGAGAATTCGAACCGATAGTAGCTCTAGATCCCTTGAAAGTATCAGAAAGTCCTGATGCTTACCCATTACTCTTAGAAAACAAAAAGGGTTATGTACACTTTATCCTATTTCAAAATTCATATCCTATAATACCCTATCTACAGGATTTCGTGCTTTTACATCTCATCTTGACAGGACAATGGTTCCAAGAAATATTCAGGAAGACTTAGAACTTCCAAAATGGGGAAAAGCATTATTGGAAGAAATTCGAGCTTTAGAAAAAAATAAAACTGGGGAAGTGATGGACTTACCACAGGGGAAGAAACTCGTTGGATGCAAATGAGTCTTTAATGTAAAATACAAAGCCGATGGGACCATAGAAAGGTATAAAGCTCGGTTGGTTGTGAAATGATAAACACAAACCTACGGCATTGACTACATAGAAACATTTGCACCCCTAGCAAAGCTAAATACAATTCGGGATCTTCAATCACTAGCAGCAAATTTAGATTAGCTACTTCAGCAACTCGACATTAAAAATGTATTCTTAAATGGAGAATTGGAAGAAGTATTCATGACATTACCACCAGATTTTGGCAAGGAAAATGAAAGAAACCGAGTATGTAAACTAAAGAAGTGGTTATACGGACTCAAACAGTCACCTAGAGCATGATTTAACAATTTGCAAAAATGTTGAAGAGACAATAATATCACCAAGGACAATCAGATCACACTATATTTATTCGAAATTTCGAAGATGGTACTAAAACAATTCTGATTGTCTATGTGTCGATAACATTATTCTCACATTTGATAATATAGTAGAGTTTGAGAAATTAAAGAAGAGTCTTGCCGCTGAATTCGAAGTAAAAGATTTGGGATCAATGAGATATTTCTTGGGAATGGAAATTGCTAGATCAAGACAAGGAATCAACGTATCACAATGAAAATATGTGCTTGATCTTCTAACTGAAACTAGCATGCTTGGATACAAACTGAGCGTTACACTTGTGGATGTAGGAAAGAAAACTAAGGATGGAGAAGTTCTGGTAGAAGTTGACAGATGTCAAAAATTAGTGGGAAAACTAATCTACCTGTTACACACCAAACCCGACATTTCATTTGCAATTAGTTAGGTTAGCCAACACATACATTCTCCGAATGAAAGTCATCTAGAGACTGTCTATAAGATACTGCACAGGAAAAGGGTTACTCTTCAAAAGGAGTGAACGAAAAGAAGTTGAAATCTATACAAATGCGGATTGGGCAAGATCGATTTGTAATAGGAGATCTACTACTAGTTATTGTACCTTTATATGGAGAAATGCTGCTTGCATGGAAATTTGATTGTATACATAATTGTGTAAACCTAGAAAGTAGAATTCACTGAATGGAACCATGTATCCCTGAGTTTTCTTCTGGTTAATCTCATTGATAGTATATTTTAAAAATTTCAGGCATTCATCAAATTATGCATTCATGAACATGGTTCTTTGCAGTTAGTATATAGTAATGGAATTCCATGACTGCCATAACATAGAAAGGTTGAAATGAAGAAAATGAAACACTTACAGGGATCCTGACAATGTCAGTACGTTCCCATCCAAGTGGGTTGTATGCCACCACAAGCTGAAGATAAACAATATATACCAACTGATACATTTTCCAGGGCATTAAATCAGTAAGACAGATTCATAAGAAGAAGAAATTACCAAACTTTTTCCTTGTGGAATATTATCTTCTGTAGATGGACAGAAACTTATATTGAGTAACTGACACTGTTCACAAATGAAAAAGGTGAAAAGAAAGAAAAGACAGCATTAGGTCGGGATCGACAAACTAGTTATCTGAATTTGAATGAAACCCAAAAGATCATTTAAATCAACTGAGAATGTCTATAAGATGCATACAATCCATTTCCAAACATGTAATTAACCTTAAATAGGATATCAATCAAATTACAGTAGCATTTTGATAGAACAGCATTCAAATTTCATTTCATTCACCAAATGCATTAAGTCTTTAGCGATTAACTTACATCATTGAACAAAAGAAAATTGAAGAAGTCATCTATAGTTTGATCTTGATTTGGAAAAATTTTGCTTCTCTCTCTCTCTCTCTCTCTCTCTCGTAGTACAAATATTTATCTATTTTTCGCAGTTGCAATTCGAAGACTCGGTACTAATAAATAAAATGTCTTCCATGAAGATGAGAAAAACTATAAATCAACTCATGATTGAACTTTTACGACTTTATGAAATTGCAAGAATATAAATAACCACATACTGAGAAAGGTCTTCCAACAATAAAAAGACCGTGTGCAGCTGTTTCAGGGATATAAGGCCATATAGTCAAATTGGCCTAAAAAATGAGACCATTATATATACAAACATATGTTGACTAGAATAACTGTTGCATAAGCATTCATGCAGAAACTGAAACAAGTTCTAAAAGTGAAATGTCACCTGGCTAAAGGTCATTGTGGGTTTAGCACACCGGCCATTCAATTTTGAATCAATCAGACGTGACAAAGCTGAATTAGCAGTCACTTCCGCCTACAAAAGTTAAATTACAATTAGACGAACTTAAAACATGATAAAACATAACATCCATTTGGTGTATACATATGTTATAGAGAAAAATTATGTTGAAGTCCACCTCAGATGCTCCAATTGAGAGGCGTTTTGCATAATCGTTCGTAGTATGCTGTTTAGCGGTACCAGTGACAGCATCATGGTGCTGTGCAATTCCTAAAGCATCACCTAACTTGTAAGTATTAGGTCCAGCTGATCTCCTTCCAATCAGAAACTCCAGTTGCCGAGTTGCCTATGTAAGCACAAATAAAATTTATTTCAATATGCTTTTATAAGACTCTGCATAATTGAAGCTGAAACTAGGATTAGATAACTTAAAAAGATTATTATCAATATGCTCTTAACATGTCCAGAAGCTGGGATTTAAGATTACACCTCTCTCATAGTGGTAATAATATAGTTCCTGGCTGTTCCATAATTAACTCCAATGCAGTTCAACTTGAATATTACAGGAAAATAGTAAGGGTAGACATGATCAAGTCCCAGCTCCCAAGAATTTAAACTAGTTACTACGTCTAATTTGACTCATTATGCATCCCAAAAGAATGGGATTGTACAATCTTACCTGATAATATCCACTCAGAAAACGAATGTATCGCTTCAAGGCTGGTCGACTTGTAAAATAACCAGTCCAGTATGCATTAGCACTGTCTGCATATCTATGGCAAATCAACCGAGAAATGTAAAATCAGTTTCGTGGATCCAATCAAATATAAAACCAGAACAAAGGAAATCAGAATGAGAGTTACGAAACAATGTGCTCACGGAAAATAATCATCAGTTTTCAGAGGCCAAGATTTACTGGCAGCACGTTTTGCATCGGTATAGATAGATGGAGTAGAATATAAAGCATTCACTTGGCCATCCTGTATAAATAAGCTTTCTTAGAGAAATGTTGTTATAGAATTAGACATGAGATACCTTGTGATTGGGTATCTTGGATTTTTCTTACTGCAGATCATGCAATGATCCAGGTTCAGCAACCAATGACTGATTGATTGAACATGTATGTTCAAACTGTATCTTTTAATAGTTGAAAATAGTTTCAAATCATCCAGAGGTTTAAGAAAGAAACTCCGGTTTCTCCAAGTTTCTTTCATTATTACATCTGTGGCTTCGAACAGAGTTTTAAATAATCTCACTTCTAGTCCTTCTTTCGGGTTTTCTATCCACCTCAATGTCTTCATGTTAGTAGCTTGGGATTTACAGCGACATAATAGACTTTCTTCATGTAATAAGAGATCCACTGAAGAAACTATGGAATTTATGGTGATATATGAAGAAGTTTCTGGGCAGAAACATGAATCGAAATAAAATTTGTTTCCTTGAGGGAAATTATTTTCCAACTATGTCTAGATTTCTATCTGAAGCCATCCTTCTTCTCAGCGTCTCTTCCAAAAAACAAAGAAAGGAAAGTAAAGAAGCAGAAAATAATACCTTGTTAACGTAATGAATTAGTTTGTCCATTTGCTTGAACCAAGACTCAGCATACTGATATTGGAAGTCATCACCCATCGTCCACATAATATGATTGGTTCGAGTCACGTTTGCCTGTGTAACAAAGACCAATTGGCCATCAACTGCACACACAGTCTTACCTTCTAAATGATGCACTGTTTAACAAGAAGATTTAGTAACTGTTGAATTTTAAGGAATATATTGGAATTTACTTGAATCGTTGCAGCATTGATAAAATCATGAACTCGTGTGTTGACATTGAAGTCAAAAAGAAGGGGATTATCCTGCATTTTAACAAATTGAGAAACTTATGTTTGGACTCATACAAACATAAAGACTGTTGGGACGAACCAATGTTTACTTGAAGATAGAACCTGGACTGGAATGAAGTCATCATCTACTTCAAAATGGAACCGATTTGGTGGACTATAATGAACAGGAAATGCATTGGCAAATATCTGCAAGGATTCAGATCTCAAATTAATCAAAAACAAAGCAGTTTAACAGAAAGAATGTGTACAGACCACCAGTTTCATTCATAACCTGAGAAGAGGAGCCAAATGTCCTGGAAGCCTGCCATATAACTTCAAGAGATTTATCTGCCTTACGTTTTGCTCTGTCTTGATAATCAATCCGTGCAAAATGAATGGAATCAAATCCCAGCTATAGAAACAATAAAGCAAAAAAAAAAAAGACAAATAAATAAATGAAAGATGAAGTAAGAACAAAAAATTATTAATATATGAACGTGCAATATCGAGTCCACAGATTATGGACCTGGATTGTGTTAAGTTGACAGTTCTTTGAAGTTCAACAACTGTTTTTTTAAATACCTCGGCCCCAAGTAGGTAAGCTTGAACTGCAGAGTGCCCAAATGGATCAATCTGCCATCCAGCACGAGGAGTCTTATTAAACTGACTCTTTATCAGTCGATGGCCAAGGGTCGTTTGGTCAATCATGTCTATATAATGAGTAGTCGCTTCATCATGCATACACCAGCCACCATTTCTGCACCATTGTCATTAAAACAGTTTAATGCCAAACTTCTCTAGAAAAGGATATGGATAGCAGATTACAAGCAATCAGCGTACACGAATTCCAACTGGCCAGCATCAACAAGTTTTTTTACTTCATCTTGAATTTCTGGGCTGTGCTCTTCCCACCATCTATTGAAAAATGCCTAATATAATAGCAACTCATTCTTAACAACAGGGAAACCATCACGTATATACTGCATTACATAGTGTATTTATGCACAGTTTGCATCTTTAAGAAGGGAAGCAATTAACTTATTCAAGTATCTTTCATTCACTCCTAGTAATAGTGAACTTCAATCATTATGCATATGCATGACATAGTGTATTTTTACACTCAGCTCCACATACCAAGGATTTTCCTCTTCTTTTTTTATTGATTTGTGGTATGCTTATCAGTTGAGTAGAACTGAGAGTTGATGCAGTAGCAACTAACTATGTACTTGTGTATTCAGCATACATGCACAGTGATAATTTTTCCAGCATCATTTGTTCCGTTGGCAAGTAATTTTCAATATAAGATCACTTTTAGTAAGAAAGATGTGAATGCAAAATCATGTACAGTAATATGACTGATTTCAAATCGGACAAAACAAAGAAAAGGAAGATTTGGACATGGCCCTAAAATTTTCCTAACCCTTGGTACAGATTGATGGATCCACCCAAACCCAATGCGCATATTTAGTAGCCCACATTTCACATCATACAAGCAGGAACAGAGCTGAATTTAACCTTCTAGTTGGCATATAGAGGAGAAGGGACGCAATAGATGGTCAAGAACATTTTCATTAAAAAAATATATGTAACTAAATTTAACCTTTCAATTATATTAAGCACAACTTTGTAGCCTGCAAACAGTTGCATTGAAATACAATTGGGAGTTAGTTATACAATGTGACTCCTTTCAACCATGCCTTGTCATTATGACCAACACTACAGTAATCTCAGTTGTGATCAACTTAAATAACACAAATATTTGCAGTGCTTTCATAATTTTAATCAAAAGAAATAAACTACCATTTCAGCAAATATAAACTTCCTGTTACGATCACGGTGCAATGACATGACAACCGAGTCCAAAACGTTTTCCACACATGCACCCTGCATCAATTCAAATGCCCAGAATCAGAGTTAAGCCAAAAAGTATTTCCAAAAAAGGGCATAATCAGTTATTATGCAAACCTGAATACTGTTATTTGATCCGACATAGTACTGATCAATTGTCTTGAGCCAGCCCAGATCACCGTGCGAATGGGGAACCAAATGAACATTCAATTTTCCCTTAACAATTCCACTACCAGTGTTGTATTTGATATAACCATTCACTCCAATAACTCCATATGAACAAATAACAGATACAGATACGGTGCACAGTAAAACAGCAACAGATTGAACTAAAGTTCCCATTTTCGACCCCAACCAAGATTTGGTTTTTGGGTTTTAACTTATTCAATATATAATAACACTCAAAGAATGTAATGTCGTGGCCATTGCAGATAAGGGAACTGTTCATTGGTTTCTCCTCAATAATTATTGGAGTTCACCAAGTCAAACGAATTTGTGGTGCCAACTAGTACAATCATGCTGCATTTACATATTTTTTACATCAATTTTGACATTGCATGATTTGACAAT